CCCTCTTTTTGAGGGCAGGGAGTCCGTTAGACTCCCTTGTTCAAACGTTAATTTCTATCCCTGCACCTGTGCTGTAATAAAACCTGTGTTCGTGAATACCTCTACAAAACAGACAACTGTCTATAAAGGACACTTTTTGCATTGAGCGTCTCTTGCGTCACAGTTGCACGTTAAATGCAACTGTATAGAATTGTCGCCTGTCCATTCTGCACACATTTGAACTGCCCCCGGAGTGTTCGTCCTATAAGGCTTTGGCCGTACATGTCTGCTGCAGGTTACAGAGATGCACTACGGTTCCGGCCTGGCGAAGTGATCAGCTTTGATGAGGACTTGTTTCTACAGTCACGGCCTGCCTATCTACAGCCCTTCCTTGAAAACATGCTGCAGCTGCAAATCTTTCAGCAGGTCGACGAAATTCATCCCTCTTCAATATTAAATATTAATTTAACAAATTAAGTAAACAAATTTTGTTGGAGTAGAATTGGCGGGAAGGTGTGGGGAGGTTACCAGATATAGTAGTCGATTTTTTTTTATTGTAAAATGGTTTAGTGAAAGTGATTAGACAGTTGTGCCCTGTTGTTATAATTTATGTGAAATTTGTATATACATCAATATACTTATCTAGTGTCTCATTTCCTCCTTCTATCTACCTTCTTTCACCTTCTACACTGTTCTAGCCTTCTTCCACTGTCCTCGCCATATACATGAATTCATATCATATGAATCATATCAAGAGCGTATTAAGAAGGTGATTCTTACTTGCCCTTCTTAATACGCTCTTGATCACATATAGATATAATTGTGATACTGATCGCACAGTTTGCCTTACAGTTCATAGATGAGAGGCTGGAGATGCTCAATTCTGGTGAAGGATTCTCTGATGAGTTTGAATATGAAAACAACCTTTATGGAGACAAGGTGTTTAATAGCAAACTAAAGAACCAGTACAGAGATTGGATGGTGAATATGAAGGTATGTTGATGGTATTTGTATAAAAGCACTAACAAGGAATGCATTTCACCTTACATGTGCATTCTATAATCTATTCGTAGCAGAATGCAAAGTAATACCAGTTCGTATATAATCTGTATATATATATATGTAATATACATGTATATAAGGAGTATATGTATATGATCACATCATGGGATATATCATGTAACAAAGTTGCCAGACTTGACAAGATTTTGTGTGAGTAGATCAAGCATCTTGGACCCGCTACTTTTCAATGGCTGCTTGATATGTTTAACAGCTGCCTATGTACTAACAACATCCCAAAGCTGTGGAGGAAAGCCAGAGTGGTTGCAATACTGAAGCCTGGTAAAGACTCGGCTAGCCCGAAGAGCTATAGGCCCATCTCATTGCTCTGCCATACATACAAGCTCTTTGAAAGACTTATTCTCAACCGTTTGGCCCCCTTTCGTGGATAAACACCTCATTCCATAGCAGGCAGGTTTCTTGTACTAGCCATCCCCTCAAACTTACACAGTTCATCGAAGACAGGCACGAGAAAGGGCTGATTGCTTGAGCTGCCTTTGTTGACCTCGCCGCAGCTTGCAACACTGTCAATCACAGAATTCTTACCAAGAAACTATACCAGCTGGTAAAGGATGTGAGACTGACAGAATTCATCAAGAATCTGTTGGCAAACAGGCGGTTTTTCGTGGATCTCAATGGTAACCGCAGCAGATGACGTAGACAGAAAAATGGTCTTGCACAAGGCAGCGTCCTCTGCTCTTTAATGTGTTGTGTACACAAATGACCAGGCAGTACACCCAAACACCAGGAGTTTCCTGTATGCAGATGACCTCTGCATTGCTTCACAGAAACAGTCATTTGAAGAAGCAGTCCCTCACTGATGCTCTCGCAGGTCTAACCACTTACTACACAGCAAACCATCTACGAGCCAATCCCAAGAAAACACACATAAGTGCCTTCCATCTAAAAGAATAGCGCTGGGATGCAAATCGCCAATTTAAAGTCAAATGGTATGAGAAATGGTTGACACATACTTTTAGCCCAGTCTACCTAGGTGTTACTTTTGACCGCTCTCTAACTTACAAGGATCACTTCACTAAGACAAAAGGCAAGGTGCGTGCCAGAAACATTGGGGATACTTTGAGGATCGCCCAATTCAATGTGACTACGGGGAGGCCCAGACTATGGGACATCTACTGGAATGCCCCCTATTACCAGAGTCCTGTAGACCTGGACACCTTGAGGCTTTTAACCACCGTGCCAGGTCCTGTGTGCTGCAGTGGCTAAGTCGAGTGTAGTGTAGTGACCCAAGAAGAAGAAGATGAGATATATCGATATATCACGATACAAACTTGATGATACATGTATTGATTCGTTTGACCATTTACAATACACGTATCGATACTCCACTGACTAAAATCCGTATCATTTAGTAGCGTACTCTTATACAAAAACAAAAGAAACAACACAATTCTCAATTTCATAGCAGTTGTTTACTAGGCGTTCCACGATACTGATTTGTAAGCGTTCACATAATTGGTAGAGTCCCGGTTGAGTGTATAGTTTTCTAGGTAGTTTCTCCTTTAAAGTATTGTGATACATGTCGTATCATAACGGCTGTATCGTGAGACGCTTTGGTCATGAGACACCCGTATCCTCCCACAGCTATGTATGCATTCGCGCGTGCGTGCGTGCGTGGATGCATGTACGTATGTGAGAATGTGTATGTATGTATACACTAACTATCAGTGCTGCACGAAGGGTCGTTGTCGTATCAGGTACTACATATATGTACCCGAGGTAGTTTTAGGTTGTTTAGTATTATGTTTATATTTTTATATGAGGTATGTTTAGGGTTAGGGTTAGGGTTAGGGTACACTTCTGTAGTACAAGTTCTGCAGTATACACTTTGGTGTATACATATAATGTAGCTGCGGGTACAATATATGGTAGTACCTAGATAACGACAACGACCCCTTCAGCATCAGTGCTCAATGAAAAAGGGCCATGTATCAGCGGCGATTGTATACTATTGTGTGGGTTTTGTTTTGAAGAGAGTGTTAGTCCATTGAAAACCCTATTTGGTTTTGATCTTCAACAGAGCATTGACAATCACATCAGCTACCAGACAGGTTACGCTCTGACTGTAGTAAACGGATAAAACATCATGGTCTAAACACGTAAATGGTGGACAAAACAGCGGCGAGGCACGAACTATTCAGCGGAACCAATGTTAGCAGTCGCGTTGAAGAAATACATAACTACTACGTACTAGCCACAGACTGCCTGAATGGACTGCTAACGGACTGCCAGTTAACAATGATGTAATCTCCATGTTTAGAGTTCGTGGTTGTTCATATTACGCAATATATGTTTCAATAACAATTGGTTTACAATGATGTATTCTCAGTGTTTAGATATTGTAAGACTTCATATTACGCAATATATGTTTAATAACAATTGGGTTTACAATGATGTATTCTCAGTGTTTAGATATTGCTAAGACTTTCATATTACCAATATATGTTTTAATTAACAATTGGGTTTACAATGATGCATTCTTCGTGTTTAGAAATCTTTAAGACTTCATATTACGCACTATATGTTTAATAACCAATTGGTGTGTACAATGATTATAATCTCTGTGGTTAGAGTCCCGTGATTATACGTTCATATAACGTGATTCCCGCGCGAGCGTGGCAGCCACATGGCCAGCACCAACCAGGATGACTCAAAAGCTCCGCTGCTGGTATGCGATTAATTGCCGTGCTTATCTCACGTATGATAAACATATCATACACAGGGCTGCCAACATTGGGTGATAGGTGAGAGCGAGGGGTGGGCGTGGGGAAAACCCCCCTCCCACGGTAGGAGCTTTTGCATTTTATAACTTACAATTTGTGCAATTTGGTGCATCTCAATAAAGTGACTGTTTTCAGAGTATTGTAAGATTTTTTTTGCTGTGCGTGAGATATTCAGGCATTTATATGGAAGGCATATTCATGCGTGAGATATCTCAGCATTTTTTTGCTGTGCGTGAGATATTGTAAGATCAGCGTGAGAGTGTGAGATTTGGTCGAAATGCGTGAGTCTCACGGTCAATGCGTGAGAGTTGGCAGCCCTGCATACATGCTATGAACGTAATATGAAGAATCACGAACTCGGAGATTACACGAAACACGGAGATTACATCATTGTTAACAGGCAGTCCGTTAGCAGTCCATCAGCAGTCTGTGGCTAGTACGTAGTACGTAGTATCAAGAGTAAGATAATAATCCCCAAAAAACCAATAAGTTATTGTCTTAATCTTGGTAGTATGTAGTGTATTTTGCAACGGACTGTAACTTGGTCCGTAATAGTTCGTGGCTCGCCGCGTGTTTTGCACCATTTACGTGTTTAGTCCATGTTTTATCCGTATATTCCCGTTCATAGTTTTAATACTAATATATAGGATAAGATGAGATGGCAAATGAACCCCAACCAACGTTCAATATTTCAGCCAATGATTAAGATTGTCAAATGCTGACAGGTATGGGGAGGTAGATCATAGTATATGATAATGCGATGCCCACATTCATTTCAACTACGTGGTTCTGTTTCAGAAAGGTGGAGCCTTGTTAAGAATAGTGAAAGATAAGGTGAGTGGTGGCATTCTTGTTGTATCGACCAGTAACGAATTAGAACAGGCACACCAGTAATGAATTAGAACAGGCACACCAGTAACGAATTAGAACAGGCACACCAGTAACGAATTAGAACAGGATGCAGTTAGAATTCATTAGTACAATGACGTACGTGCTCACTCGATTTTTCTTCGCAGAAATATGTTAAATGCGTTTTTATTGTGTCATAGGTGAAAGATAAGGGTAAGAAGACTTATAAGGACATTCGTACAAAGTGGCATGATATCCAGTCACCTAAGGTAAGATCCGTACCAGTGGCAGGACCTATTAGTTTGGGGAAAACATTGAGTACTACAGAGTGCAGGCCTTTCACGGTGGTCACAATTGACATTGGGATGAGTGATAACAATTGTGAATCATCGTGTTCGCTCATAATCGGCCATAACCTTCCGACTTGGTACAGTAAACTTTCCGAATTCTGAACGTCGTTAAAACCGAACCTCACGTTAGGGGTCGTTCACAATTATCAACATTTTCACAAACGTACAAACCGCACGCTGTGGGGGGGGGTCAATGCCAGCCGTACGCTTTCAGCATTTCGGAAAAATGTCGATCCATTTCCCGCGCCGCGCGCCCCAGCCAGCATCGCGCGCATCGTGTTTCCACTTGTTTGTGCCAGAAAATTTCATTCTTTATATCAAGATTTCGTTATATCCGTGCTCGTTATAACAGGGTTTGTATGTAATTCATATACATGTATCTCTATGTAGAATTGTGTGAAAAAAATCAACATTTTTCTTCATACACTTTTAGGGGGGAAGGGGGGTCTCGAAAAAGTGTATGCTCTGTGCACTTGTGAAAATGTTGATAATTGTGAACGACCCCTTAAACAGGACGATCTTTCAAGTCCCAACATAATCTGGGGAGCACATGTAAGACGCCGGCTATAAACTTCACTTCACAGAAAACTGAAGCAAATGGATGTTCAGCTGAGGGCGGTCTGTACTGGAAGAGTTCACTGTATGACTCCATGCGCTTCCCCTAAATCCCATGTACCACATGTATTTCTGTTTGGCCCACCTATAACGTGTTGTTAAAAACTAGCTGCCCTTCCTAACCTTTCTCTAAAAGAGGTTTGCCTCGGTGTTCCTCTAAATTGCCGTGGTGCCCTAAAGGCAACCCTTGCCTTGCCCGATAAAACATTGAAATTTGGTCCTTTCTATAGTGGGTGTGTATGTGTTTGCGTAACTCTCAATATTGCAGCTGGACGGAGGTGATCTGACAGTCTGCCACAAACTGGATGCAGGAGCATGTAGAAGTAGCAGTGCCCCTAGCAGTCCAACCAGCAGTAGAAAGACACTTGACCAGGTAAGCTGGCGCGCTATACCTAAAGGCCCCCCGCACACGATGAGCTTCATGCTGAGCAGGAGTCGCACCGCGGGTGCCACTGTCTGGTGCACGGGGGCACGAAGCGGTCATTGGAGCGGGTGCACGGCTGAACCAATCAAAATGCGCAGCCATTTTGGAATAACTAAATACGCATGCGCCAACAGTGAGTTCAGCCTCGCGAGACCAAAATGATCAAACACGACAGATGTTTTCCTCGCCGCCTCGCGAGACCGAAAACTCGGTGAGATCGACTCCGCACACGGTGTATGTCACATCAGGCCATGTTGTTAATTTAACATATTGTATTGAATTGTATTATCTTGCATTGTATTGTATTTTATGGTAATGTTTTGTAATTTATGTATATTCTTTAAACCATAATAAAAAATAGCATGCAGTGGCCATCAAATCAGTGAAAGTATTCATTTAACTTTGGAAAATCACTTAGACACTGAGGATGGGACGACAATATCGATATCGATGTATCACGATACAAACCATGACCATTCTCTACTGAATCAAATCCATATCATTTTAATGATTTACTAGCATAGTTTTGTCAGAAAAACTAGATGCGTGACGCAATTCGCAGTTCAATAGCAGTTGTTTACTAATTAAGTGCTCTACGACACATGATTTGTAAAATGGATGAAACAGTCAGCTTGATGATCTGCCTCAGTCACTCATCATAATTATGTCATATGTCTCAGCCATCTAACACACGTGCATGCGTGGACTTTATTAAAGTGATTACGTCACTGTAAATAGTAAAAAAAAATGTTGTCCACTTTTTTACAAAATGTAAGTGATTCTGTTTACTTTTTATGGTTAAATTGCAGCATTATACTTCCTATTTTGCTATTCCGTTCGTTGTGAATAAGTGCTCGTGACTCATACATAGCCCATAGCAAGCCTTTAATATTATGATCAATATATCAAATCGCCCAGGTTTTTTCGGATTTTTAACTAGTTGGGAAACAATCTTATCAGGTAAGAATTTGATGATACATTTAGTTCCGTTAGTACTTACTTTTAATGTAAAAAAATTGCAACAAAAATTGCAACAAATATACATGGTAGAAAATTTGTGACGTAGTCAATTAAAATCTTTGATGTGTCACTACAAGGATATCTATGGAATTCTTTGTCTGCGTGTTTATGTCAACGCAGCGGCATATGGGTTTTTATAGCAATAGAGGCAATCTTATGACATACACGCACAGGGTGGGAGCGCAAAATTGACTATTGTAGCTGACGTTGTATAATGCAATATTGTAAATTATACGGCTTCAAAACATTATTACAAGGAAAATGCCGCAATGGATTGAAAGAGAAATCGTAAGGGTACACATCCTATTCTACATGATGTTCTCCTTGTAATAATGCTTTGTGTTATTGCGATTACATAAAAGTTCTATAGTAATCTGCCAGCGAGGCGGAAACAGGCAAGGAAGATGGAACTGATTTTACTATGCCTCTGGTATGCTGCTCGTATTCTGCTATGCCTCCATGCCTCTCCCACAAATTAGAAGTGATGGTTGTACCACTGGGTGTCTAGAAAACGAAGACCCCTGGAAAACTAAGACCTTGGAAACTAAGACCCCTGGACAGTCACCCTGTGATCTGGTCTTAGGTCTTCGGTCTTAGGTCTTCGTTTTCTAGACGCCCTTGTACCGTTCTTCGTTCTTCATTAAAGGTATTGTTAAACCGTATGTGGCATTGATAACCTTCTGTTCAGGAAATGTTTGCTTTGTTGGCCCTCCACATTGCCGTGGTTTCCTAAGATGTCAGATTAAGCTGAGATTAACTATAAAAACCCTAAAACCTGAAAATTCAATACCTGTAACTGATCGCCGTGTTTTCGCTTTTCTTCAGAAGGATAAGCGAGTGAGTAGGAACTTGGCGTTCGGTTCACCACACCCGGTTCTACTGTCAGGCAAAAAGGAGGAACTTCTGAAGAGCTTTGAAAGGTTTTAAGCTCACATCTCTCTGAACTGTACAGCCACAAATCACAAACTGCAGCTCCTTGCTTCATTCCGTAAAAAATTGACATGTCCACTTGAGTGTTGTGACTATCCCCCCCCCCCTTCCCACATACAACCTAGTAGTCCAGTAAAAATAGTCCCTTCACCCACCACCAATTGCAAAAGAATTTATTCCACTGCAGTGATTTTCAGTACAGAAATGCACTGCAGTGGAATCAATTCTTTTGCAATTAGTGGTGGGTTACCCACTCAAATTTGCTAGATTGACTGGACTATAGATGTTGCTAGATTGGTGAAGCTCGGACATTTTGTATGGTGTTTAAAACGGTTTTATATCGCGGCAAATAGAAACGTAGATTACTTACAATATAAACGTGGCAAAAGGATAATTACGAACGAGATCGCGAGCCGACATGTATGGCATCATAACTCCGTGGCGACAGAAACCGGACTAGGGCAAGACATCATTTCCAGTAGTAATGTAACATATACCACATTACATATGATATTTTAATTTTATATGTAATATAATGTAAACATGGCGTTTAAAATTCGTTCTTCGTTATCCTTTTGCCACGTTTATTTTGTACGTAATCTACGTTTCTATTTGCCGCAATATAAAACCGTATTACACCTGCTTGCCAAAATGGCAACATGCAAAAATTGTTATGGAATATGTTATTGAACAACTGACTGGCTAGGGTTTCCTTTCATTCGCACCAGGCAGATAGGTAAAGTAACCGGTGTGAGGTGCTACATTTCCGGATTTTACAGGAAACCCAGATTTTTTTTTTAATGTAAAAAGTTCTGGAAAAAAAATCTGAAAAAAATCTGACAAAATCCGATTGAAAAATCCTGAACCACCCTGTAGTATCTCTGCAGTGGCACATCACGATGGGGTCACCAGTTGTTGAAAGATGATTAATTCCTACGTAAACAAACTAACTTTATTTTTTCATGAACATCATTCTGTACTGGCAAGTTTTGGGCTTTATCATTCTCATCTTGGAGCTTGTTGAACAGCCTTGACTGTACTTGCTGTTGATTGTACGCATCCAGTATCCTCTGTCCCTGGCGGAATCTCACCAGCTGTAGTCGAGAGTTTATTAAGAATTAAGTATGCTAATTAAGAAGCTGTATTCGATGTTAATTAGAAACGTGAAGAATAGAAGCCATGATAAATAATTTTCGGTGCCCTACTGGGCTTACTGGCTTAGTGTGCCAGTGAAGAGATTCACAGTTTTTCACTGGCGGGTGCCGCCTTATACAAGGCTCTCTTCTTGGCACCGTTTCCACACTCTATCTCGTTTTGCTGAGTACTAAGCAGAGAAGCAGTGTGTACCATTTTTTAAGTCTGGTATGACCCAGCCGGGAGGCGAATTTTTTTTTCCTACACGTTATATCCATTGTGCTTGATATACGCATATCAACTTTCGCATCAGACTTTCCGTATATCAAGGAATGAAGCAAAAATCCTAATCCTAACCCTAACCCTAACCCTCACACTAACTATAAACCGAATCGGCTTATATACTATCTATGGTATCCCAAACACTATCTATGGTGTGGTCAAATCAAAGCAGCCACTCAGAGGAGCCCAATGGATATAACGTGTAGAAAAAAAAATTCGCGGCCGGGAGTTGAACCCACGACCTTCCACATGCGAGGCGAGCACGCTACCCATTGAGAAGCCATGGTGTAGTCACTGCATTCCTGGCAAAATTTCTCTGTGCGCAGGTCACGTCGCTACAATGTGCTGAACGTTGACAACGATGCGGACGCGGACGAGGCGGCATGGCCGCGCGGCGGCGACGACGACGATGACTCACCGGACTACAAGCGCGTCAGCATGAACCTACTGCAGGAGATGCACTCCATCATCTATCCCGACACCGCCGCCGCCGACGACGGCGAGAAGGAGGACGAGGATGAGGAGGAGGTGAGAGGAGGAGGAGG